GAGAGAGAGAGAGAGAGAGACAGAGAGAGAGAGAGAGAGAGAGACAGAGAGCCTGGCCGAGCAAGATGTCACCAGAAGGGCAGGCCACCCTACAAAGCAAACAGCGAACACATAACGCCACCCGGGGTTACGTTCCACTTACCAGAAAGAACCCCAGCAGTTTTATACAGAGGCGTGGGGGTTAATAGGGGAATAAATAGTTTTCAAACATCTGTCGCAAGGGCACAGACGACCTCCCATGGGACAAGAGAAAAGAAAATACCTTGCACAATCTCGTAAATATTTGCCCATACTTGAGATCATTTGAAACTGATTTACTTATTAAATTCTGTGGTCTTTTTCATTTACACATCAAATAAGCCTTCAGTACATGTATTAACATTATATTCGTGTGCACACAATATCAATCATAAAGAAATTTCAAGTTCTGCTGGGGTATATTTTCATTCCTTCACAAAACCCAGTACCAATCTGTAATATAACAGCACAAAGGTGAAGTACGGTGAAAACGGGTCTATAAAGGCCTCAGTTATTCTTTTTACGTAGCATAAAAGAGTGAAAAGCTATACATACAGATTTTGTAACGCTTGTTTTCTTCTCACTGCCAGCGTCACACAAGGAATCAAAGGAGCCCAAGCCTCTCACAAATCATTACAGACACGGCCAAAACGAGGGCACAAACAAACTACTCCTATTTACCAAAGGTGTATACCCGTATTTCTTCTTAACAAGAATTACTGAATACGGAACTTCTCCAACCCCTCCCCCCCTACCCCCATCCCTCTTTCCCCCCTCACCCGACAGAGCTGCTTCAGTTCTCGATAAATAGACCAAAACCAGAGAAGACAGGAATCACGTTAGTCCCAAGCTAATGCGCAGCAAACCAAACGGTTTACAAAAGCTGAATATAGACCCCGAGAATACGGACCAAGGACATTAAGTAAGTGCTCAAAAAAGAAGAAGAAAAAAAAAGGGGGGAGGGAGCAAGAAGGGGAACGCTATCCGGGGTTACGTTCCAGTTACTTAAAATAACTCCATGTTTTTATTTAAACAAGAGCTTTACGGCACTTGCAACAAAATAAAGTCATATAAGCGCCGAAGACTAGAGGTATTACAAGAGAGTAATAAACACAAAAAGAAGGACGAGAGATAAGAACGATATTATATGCTTGATAAGACAGAAGGAGTAAACCACAGCAGAACACACCTGTCAACCACATCCTGTCGTCAACCACACCAGAACACACCTGTCGTCAACCACCAACAAACTCCGTGTGCCGAGAAGAAGATTGGAGAGTCCCCAACAACGAGTAAAGCAAAACTACTGTATTGTACATGTATCATTCCACAGGTTCGAGTTTGTTTCTTTCTAACTATGTATGCAAGCATGTGTCATATTTCATTAACACTTTGTTCATGCATTTTGTGAGCACCCACATACACAAAACGGGAAGCGCATCCATAACAGGGGAATTGGCAAACGCATTACAGAAAAGAAAGAAAGAATTACAAAAAAGAAGGACATATTTATTAAGGACGCCCCTCCTCCTACACACAGATACACGCAATTACAAATACACAAACCCTGTATGACCACAACCTCACCCAACCCCACCCCACCCCACTCAAATACACTCAACTACACTCCCATACACAAAACATATAAAATATTTTAGTAAGCGTTTTATGGCACTTGCAACATAATAAGGTCAATATAAGTGCCAAAGAATAGATGCGTTACAAGGGACAAACATATTTTTAAAAAAGGAGGAGAGATAAGGACGATAGATGTTTGATAGGAAAGAAGGAGCAAACCACACCAGAGCACCCGCCACCTACCCACATATTATATAGAATATGAAAATACATCAACCATTTGAAGAACAATAGCAAACAAAGAGGCACTCGTTCAAGACTGACTGTAACTGTCTGTAAATAAATCAAAGTGATACTTACTGGACTGTCTGTGAGGTCTACGTCTGTGTCCGCCACTGTCAGAATCTGGAAAAGACAGAAAATACAAACACGCATGAATATTTAGTTTGGCTTGGGTTAAATGTCTTACTAGTCTAGGCTAAAGCAAACCATCTCTCATGACGACCATGAGCCCTGAACAGGCAATCTTCTCAGTCCAAAATGTGAGGGGTGCTGACAAAATAATTTATTTCTCAGATTTTAACCCTATGGATACGTCAAATGTATAGGTTGATTTGTACAGCTGATTAGTGTGAAATGATAAGAGACAAGTTCAACCTGAACAAATTGCTGTCCATTCAAAATCTACCCATTTGACACTTGTAGCGAGTTTTGGCTGATGTCCCCATTCGCGGTTGGCGTGAAGTAATTCATTTTGTCAGCAAGCCTCCAAAATAGTTCAAGGTCAATGTTGCTCCAAGCAACAACTTAGGTCTGGTAGCCAAAGAACTCACAACCAGCCTCGTTCTCTTGTGGTAATTGCCAAACGCTTTGGAATATGACACAGCCTTTATATAAATCAATGCCATCTTGACAATGTGAGGGTGTGTGGGGGAGGGGGATACAGGAAAGGACGCTTGTAGCCAGCAAACTATGACGATGGCCTCCATCGTAAATCTGCACGTAACTTCTTGCTAATCAAAGACAGTTCACTTGCTTTCCTAAGATAGATAATTTCATATCCACAGGCAGGTACCATGCTGACGTGGACAAAATAAGTAATACGATGGGTCTAACGTCCTCTCAACACTGTAAGGCAATTCAAGGGGCGAGACCTCTAAATTTAACATCAAACCCCGATAGGATGGCACCAAGTAGTAGACACCCATGTCCATGGAAGTCTCATTAAGGATTAGAACCTGGACTATATACTACAGCCCATGGCGATACCAACTGAGCTGACGACTCGCCAAGACAGAGGGCGTGAGTGAACGCGTGTCAGCAAAGAAATGAACAGAAGTAGTATACTCACTTTCCCTCTTCCGAAGGCCCACGAATTTCACAGCACGGGAGGTGGGTTCTTTTAAAGGAGCAGGTTTTCCTGACGTCATCGCAGATTGACGATTAAAAACAACATATTATTATGAAAGACAAGTCTCAGAGACAGCTGTATGGCCGAATACCATTGCCACCCAGCGGTGGGATTATACACTGAAGAAGACGGATACTAATACAATATTCTGACTAATAGAAAAAAAACTACACACTCTACACGGATGCAGTGGCATTGTGGTAACCCCGTCCCACTCAACACGAACATTGAGAAACCGACTGCAGAAACACATCAGACGGCAAGGTCAAACTTAAATGTTTGCGACTTCCAAGTTTAAGCTGAGTCATGGAAATTAGTTGATAAGGTGCTGGGGGCAGAGCTTCTTCGCTGGACGCCAGTAGCTAAAGCCATACAGCGTACCATTAACCCTTTCTGTCTTCACTGTCCCTGGTTGTAAAATTGGCCGGACAGTAAATTCCTGAAGTTTCTTGCTGTAATTCTATTATCGTAAAATACGTAACACTCCCATTGACATATTGTGAATGCCTTCAGGGGCAGGCTGCGCTTATCCAACTTGCCAGGGACCAGCAGGGGCTGTGTAAGACACATTGTAGCTGAAAAATTGAAATTCTAATTTAGAATATCTTCTCCAAGTAAATCTAAAAGGCACGCTCTCTTCGTGGAAGGGGTAGACACTAACCATTACACCACTAAACGTTAATATGAAGCGGCTGAGCAAGTGAGAAGTATGAACGCCTGTCTTATACTATTTGGCTACCTAATAGGTAGGATCTCCGCACTAAACGCCCATCTCCTACAGGACAGGACCAGGATAACAATCTGATTTGAAAACCACGTAAACAGCCAAATATCAAGAACAATCCTTTAGGGATTCGAACCAGATCATTGGCACTACCGCCCAGCATGGAACTAACAGAGCTTAAACTACGCCACGTTCCAGATGAATGCACTAACGTCCTTGGCAATGACGCATAATAAAGCTTCTGTCTCTAGCTCTGCTTTCCAAGGGACACGGAATATAAAATCCAAATACCGGTGGAGGAAAGGGGGGGGGGGGTATAGATTCTACTCGTCAGCTAAAACTTCTAAATTTCCTGATTTAGTCAAGGATCCATTAGCCTGACACCGATGTTAGTGTAAATCAAAAGTTCTAAAACGTTCCATTATTCAGACATCTAATAAGACATTCAATTTATGCACGTTGTGCCACCAGCGCATCGGGCTTTGTGAATTATAAATTCACCCCAGTATGAAAAAAAGATAATACAAATGCAATTTAGTTTGTACACATAATATAATGTATACCCCAGCAAATTCATTTCAATCGAGTTTGCTCGTCAGCGTAAAGATCCACAGCTTGCACCTGTCGGTAACACGCAGATCATTGTGTTCCCAGTCGTCGTTGTGTTCAGAAACTAAGTCATGGTAATGATATACGCTTTCATAGAGAGGCAAACACAAAGTATAGGTGGAATTCAATATCCACACCGGCGCCATCAACTTGGGCAATATCTCCCGTGAGCAAATGCCGGATGATGTACCGGTGTGCCGGCCGGCTTGAGGCCGACGATGGCACGCACGCACGCGAGATATTGTGAAAGTGTGTGTGTGTGTGTGTGTGTGTGTGTGTGTGTGT